CCCCCCCCCCTCTGCATGAATTGGTGAACTCTGTGCTCATTCTCTTTGGGGGACTCGTTGCAATACTTCACCAGGGATCTTTCAGTGACAAGGAGCTCATTTTTAAGAAGCGGGTATTAACGTAGGGAATCTAGGCTGCCCGTCTGCGAGTGCAAAAGTCGCAACACATCTTGCAGAACTTGCAGCGGGGCTGCCGCAGCTCGTTGCTCGGAGTAAGCAAGGCTAAGGTCACCGACCTAACGTTCTTTACAGGAACCAGTAGGATCGCAATACGCTGCCTTCAAGAGTACTCAAAACCTTAGCCAAGGTAAAAAAACTCATCTTTTCAAAATTACAATTGTTTTAGTTGCGGAAGAGCCGCCAATATCTTTCGCCTCAGACCCTCCTCATATATAAAGTAATACCAAATAAAACCTAATCAAATGCATTCCTGCTACGTAGTGGCTTCGTGTTATGGTGTAGCTACACCACTGCGTAATTACTCCCAACTTGTGTAATCCACATCTATGTACGGTCACACCATTTTGTGCGACCCGCCCTTTCATACAAGGGTACGTGTAACCCCCGTTACACTCTCCCCCATTAAAATTGTGAATAACCACAAATCACATCGATCCGTCGCCTCATTCGAGACTTGCGTATCTGCGACACCGTCATGTTCTTAAGAACAAACCTAAACATTCTACGCTCTATGAGCCGTGTGTTATGGCACGCAAAAAAACCAGCCTAGCTGATCCCGGGTGCCCGCGGGAAAAGCCCTTCTACTTCAGCACCGGGTGCACCTCCGCACAGTACGTCCGCGGCTTCACGGCAAGCACATTCCAAGTCCTCGCCAACCGAGCTCAACACACCACGCCCGCCTTGGGCGACGGAGTTCCTCGATGAGGAGTTGGAGGAAGTCGATTACGAGTCGGATACTCCTTTCCCAGCATGGGAAGACGAGGAGGATGAGGTGCGCCAACGGCGCAACGTGAGCCCTGCTTGAACCTTGCGGACCCCGTGTCCGCTCTTTGACCTCTCGGCTTTCGGGAAAAGTGGTACTAATATATATGGCCTCGACGAGGCACAGGAACGGCAATTGAAGGCTGCCCACAGGGCGGTTCTCATGCGCTCGTATCCACGTTCGGTCTTAGCCCTCGTGTGGAGTACGGCTTTCGCTCGGCAAATCCCACCACTGAAGCAAAAGACGCGATCTCTCGATCGTTAGGCGTCTATGTAGTCGGGCCCCCGGTTACTACACAAGCTTGACATGATCAGCGGTATGCTCCAAGCTCGCATTTTGGTCCGACAAGAAATCCTGATGGATTGGTTCCGCGCTCGACTACGCGCTCAAAACGAAGACGCTCCTGTACCCGCAATGCGGACTATTCCTGTGGTGCTCACCCCTGGCGAAACCACAGTAGATGATGATGAGCACCGAAAGCTTCCTCGATGTCTACCTTACAATTTAGCCAAGGAAGTGGACGAGCGCGTAGAGCGCCATCTTGGATTTGAATTCTGATCCTTCTGATCATAAGCGTCTACAAAGTCTGGGCAGTCTTGCCAAAGTGGTACCTCAAACTCCCACGAGTTCTCGGAGTTCTGGTATCCCCGCGACTTCACAAGATATTGAATTTGACCCTGTCAACAGCGTCGACCCTCAAGCCGTTTCACGTAATAGAGGACGCCACCATTTCCATCGAGAAGAGTCAGCGGTGGGCAATGACGACTTGGTCGATCGCCGCCCGGTGACTCGCGATGCTCTTCAGCCATTAGGACAAAGTCTGTCGTCATCGCCACTCTGCCTAGCATCTTTCCGAGGTCGCCCCCACTGTGTAGAAATTTTCAAGAGCCTCAGTACTTTGTGCACTGACTGCCTCACGTTGAGAATCATCGCGCTTTGTCGGTGCGGCTCCTAGCCGTCGAGCAGACAAATTTGTCACGTCGTGCGACGGTGAAGTGCCTTGCGGCGTTGGAAACGAATATTGTTGCACTTTGTGCTCAGAACCAGTTGCTGGTCCAGCTTCTGGGTGGCCGGCTGCCTTTGGGCGCCTCCCCGGCGCCAACACTTTCGCGTTTTCTTTCGCTAATTCCCGGTATGGCTTAAGCAAACACACATAAAACACCGTGCGATGACGAATCCATCTCAGGAGGTTCAGCGTATACGCAAGGCTTCGCTTGGTCACGACCTTAAAAGGCTCAATGAATGGTGGACGGAGCTTTGTCTTCAAAATAGCAGAGAGGAAGATTTGTAGCATTTAATAAAAACAGGTCTCCGACCTCAAAGCTTTTAACATTTTTTCCGCTTCTATCATCTGCATATTC